ATTATTCATCTAATCTAATAGTAAATCTAATAGTTATTTAACTCCTTTAATGCAAATCTACTACTGGCTGAAAAATCCCAAATAGGACGGACGGCACTTCACTCAAATTCGCGAGTCTCGATAAAGATAGGTGACGGATCACCAACCTAATCCATAACAAAACATATCATACATATGAAACATTAAACTGAAGAAAAGCACTGAAATGTTTAAGGCGATATCTGTTGGCAATTCTATGTCCAAGGTAGGATAATAATATAATGATTTGTGAATGCTGATGTAATCATACCTTTGATGTATGGGTAAATTAATGAATCCTACATAGCCATCTTCCACTCAATGGGATATTTAAATACCATGGCTATAAACCTCATAAGTTTGTCTGAACAAAGATTCTTCTTCTTAAAAAATACTATTCATGTCCTTAAAAATTATGAGTTGTTGTCGTAATATTATTAGATAGACATGTGACGAATAAATTTTCTGACATATATATGACTACGTAAGCAAAATCAAATTGGTTTCAAGTGGTAAAGTGACCAGATAAATAGTATTTACTAGTTCATACAGTATGGGGATTGGAAATAGGTAAGCAGTGTGGCGTGTGCTACTGACAGGATTTATAAGTAGTACATAGATGCATACTTGAATATGTGTGTCATCTGCAAGAATTTCGACTAGCAGAGAGATGGATTTAAGGAATGATGCTTGTGAAACAACATGGAAAACATGAAACGAAGACAAAGACGCACACTATGGAACATATATACAAATTGTGATTCTAATACATACGTATTTTGCCTATAATTGTGTATCGACTTGCCAATAAATAATTCCGTTATTAAATTCCCTTGTCTTCTGTCGTTACCGTACAACACAGACAATTGTTGGTACGGTTCATGTACATCAGTCTACAGGAGCGAGTGAATACGTGTCCAAGTTGTCAACAGTGAGATCTTGTCTTTGACGTCTTGATTAGTAACAGGATTTGTGGAAGAGATACAAATAACGTTCTCCGATTTAACCGAGCGCTGTGCTTAGCCAATGTGCAAAAAGTAAAAAAAATGGCACATGTTGAAAAAAGGCTCATTATCAGAAAGTTCGAATTCAGGCAGGTGCACATTTCGAGACAAGATTTCACCACAGTTCGTTTAGGATATCTAAATTATTCTGACCACACATGGTGACCTAAATTAAACCATAAGTGGCAATCAAATACTCGCCGATGTCATTGGCTGGCGCTATATATCTCAAATTGACAGAGGTCCATCATTCACCTTTATACCGACTATCGCATACTCCGAGAAGACGAACATTCAGTTGCAGTGTGAGTCAACTACAATAGTGAATAATGCTTTGAGTTACTACAGCTGTCACGTGGTTATTTTTTTTCAGATTGTGAAGTTACTTCTCAATGACTTAAATCAAAACTTGCTAAGATATGCCTGAAATGTTTTCTTTTTGTTAACAATTAAATGGTAAATACACAAACAATTGGGAATGAGTCACCTAATGTCTTCTTACAACACGCATTACAAGGGATGAAAATATTGGAGTAATTTCTTTGCACTAGAAAAACGACAGTTAGTATTTGGTCACTACTCTTATTGCCTGTATGAAATAAGGATTAGAAGCAATACTTTAGGAAATTTCTGTTGTATTTTACTGATTAGTAATACCCAACTTCTAAGATTAAAAGTTAATACAATTTCGACACTTTCTTAGTTGACTTTATCAAAATAAGTAAGAAATATCCACAAATTGTAATTCACAGAAAATTATTGACTGAAACCTGAGTAGGGAAGTGAACAGAGCTATTTATAAGAATGCCTACATTATGAAAAGCTGAACGAAGATCGTTGCAATCAAAACGTTCGTAGAGCCAAAAATGTATAAACAAATTAAGATATCTACCACTTGATGAATAGAAGGAAATTACGCTAGCAAAACGACATGAGTGGAGCTCATAGTAATGCCGAGTAGGGAACAAAGAGAACAATTAATTATGAAATATATTCACAAAAAGCACTACTAAAAAAAAAAAAATTGCCATATTAGGGAAAGATTGGCAACACAAACTAGTAAAACGAGAAATCTAAGTTGAACTGCACATTAACTCATGCCATTAACTTCAATGCTCAAGGTATTTATATCAATACCTAGACAACTTTACCATATGCTGATCAAACATTCATAAAGATTCTGCAGTTTTTAATTATGGGGTCAGTACTTTCCTGTTATGTTGAAGTATTTGGTCCTCATATTCTCATACTGCAACTACTTCAATTCATAATCAGTTTCTTTAAAACAGAAAATCAACTAATATCATTTTATCATGATCCGATTGTTGTTTCACCTTAACATAATTAAAAAAGCAAACGTATAATGTAAGCAAGACCAGATCTTTTAAATGACAATGTTTAACAACGACAAGTCACTATGTAACTTTAAGAAAGTCACTTAAGCTTTACTGCGAACAATTGCAGATATTTTCTCAATTTTCAAATGTCCAAACAACCCTTACGTTATTTGGATCTTTTCGCGTAGATTTTAATGTTCAGTCTTGGAAGAGGGAGATTGCTCAACAACCACTTGCATTTAATTACACACGTTCATTAGTTACATCCAAGGGTTGGTTCGGTTCGAGTTCACACACCAGTGGCTGAAATCCAAGCACCTTAATCAATTAGCCGTAGGTCTAAACGGCAAAAGTGAGAAGCAAATATTTCGGTTAAAACAAGGTTTAGTTTACCGTATCAATCAAGTGTTTACTGTACAATAGGAAGTTAAAAACAGTTAAAGTTAATGGTACATAAATATAAAATCTTTCCACAAACAGTAAAATGCCATAGATGTACAGGAACAAAGCGGTAAATATACATTTAAAAAACCTAATACAATATATTTTATTGAAAGATGCAGTAGGGAGTGAAACACACTCTTACACAGAGGAGTCTACGAAAGTTTTCTCCACTCAATCAGAAGTTGAACTACTTTGAGAAGAATTTAAAGCTGATTCTAAAACGAATTTGCTGAAGTTTTTCTCAGTTTTTTTGGATATGGTAATGCCTTTAAATCCTAACTTCTTGGCAAGCTTTCGGCGCTGTGCGACACGCTTGCGTGTTGTTGATAAGACAAGATCTCGATCCAGAGGGGCGACGCCGGGACCTGTAGGGTTGCATGCTTCTTCGAGTGTTAGTCCTGTAAATATCTGCCTTCTTAAGGGGGAACGTTCAGTGTTTCTGCATAACTTATGGGAGCGTTGATTTTTTTCAACTGAATTTTCGAAAATAGTTGGCAAACCCCTGTGTTTTGGGGGCGTATACTTATTAGGAAGATAGACGTTTGCAATGTCTGATGGTATGTGCAGAGGACTTTGAGGTCTGACATTTTCCAATTTATCTTGCGATAAGACAGATATCTTATCAGGTGACGCAGTAAAGCATGACTGTGCAGAAATATCCGTAAATGGTATATTATTTTCATTTTGGGCAGGCGAATGAGAAGAACTGCACGATGCGTCATAAGCTGCATTCGTCTACAAAAAAAGAATATTAATTTAAGTGTGGATTAGTACCATATATTACACATAGTTGAAGATACTAGCAATGTAAAGCATACTCTGATGTACCTAGCTAATAGCTATTCAGTTTGTACGTCCTATTTATTCGAGAACCAAGACGACGAAAATAGTGGCTTTTGAAATACAATATGATACATCAACAAAATTCAATCTACAAGAGGTGCACGCCGAGCATATCTTAGAGCAAGACAATGAAGTTCAAATGAGCATGTGCTCGAACCGTCACACAGACTAACGGAAAACCAACTTAAATGTGCACTATAGATTTGTACGACTGATGAACAAGGAGAGACGAGGAGAAAGGGGCTATTTATATCAATGACAACTAAATCAAAATGCTTGGTTCTCACACAAGGCGACTGGGTACTCAAAGTGGACAGAAGTGAGCGATTTCGCGAAAGCTAGCGACGGTTAACGAATGGAATAACTATTTGAATTCGGATATCTATATATATATCAGAACTGATATACGTAAATTAACAGACATGTAATTCATCTATGCAATCAAAGACAGTGCATACGTTAAAATGATAACATGGTGGTCCATTTTTTCACATGACCTATACCGCATTACTTTCAATATTTTGATTTATCGTTGAAAAGGACTACCAGTTGTTACATCTTAAAACAGAAGCACTGAAAAATTCGCACATAGAAAACGTGACGAATAATCGTAGTAGACTTTGATATAGCTAACAAATCCATCAGCCAACTGTGAACAATCCCAACACAGACTACATTCGAATGAGAAACAAGACCAATAAGGTAGTGTGTTATGGATATCCAATACGGTGAATCCGATAAATAAATACCTTGTCTTTTTACTGAAGTTTCAGTTTGGGAAATCTGAAATGAAGCAGTATGGAGAACAAAGATTACTAAACAGTGATAACATAAACACAGACCGTTAGTAGCACACAGGCAGAATGCTCTCCGACCACTGATGTGCATCGGGTTTCAAACCTAACCGACGTACACCTTTAATACGATAAGCCATTATTACAACTGCTAAGGAGTTAGGATTGGACATAAGGATAGCAAACCCAATACTCAGAAAATAACAGCTGCGACATAAACTAGTCTCCCCACCCATCTTCTGGGAGTCAGCCAAGGCTACATTAGTCGAGTGGCGGGACGAACTGCGAAGGAGCTTCCTGAGGACCGCGAAAGTTTACTTCACTACCAAAAAGCGAACACAAAGAAGTCAAATTGGCTTACAATAGCTCGTAAAGATCGATTTTGAGCATTGGATATTGGTCTGGCGGTTAATGCAAGTGAGGGAGCAATGTGGTGCATTAGGTAAGAGTAAGTGTGACACCTTGAACCCCCTTGACTTATGCGCATGTATGATTTATTGAGTAGGGAAAATAAGATTTCAGATCCAGGAATCATCAGAGATTTACTCTGAGGGAATATCTTATGACTTTTTGAATGGTGTCACATACGATAGTAGCTCTAAACTGTTAGAAGTATGCATTCTGTGTAAGGGAGAGCTCCATGGACACTGGAGCGTTCAAAATGCAATTAACGACATATTTGTAAGCAAGACGAAGCATAAGAAGGCTTGACGTAAATGCCTGTGAAGTTAAAGTCGTCTGTACCATTGGTTGCAGAAAAGCTGATTCTTGGTATGGATCGTGTCAGTGGCAATTTCGTACTTTATCTTCCTTTCCAGGCATTAATCTTCAACAAGAGCTTAAAAATTAAACATCTAAGACTTGTATGTAATTTCCATTCAAAGTCTTCAGTATTCCCACGTGCTGTCGTCTTATATTGGTGTGCTGACTTATTTTCATTCTTGCACACCCAAAGTAATTTGACGTTGAACATGTGTTTAGTATTACACCCTTGCCATTCTGCTGGGGACCCCATCCTGTAAAAATAAACGCTGCTACAGAAACTTCAAGCCTCAAGCTTGAGGCCCTTTGTTCCACTGGGACTGTGAAGGAATGAAAAAAAATAAACATAGGCGACTTATTCAACGTAGCAGACGCACTTACATGAGTTTGCGGATTAATCACTGACTTTCGACTATATCTTTTAGATGGGTGTGTTTGTCCACCAAGGGACGCTGCAGGTATGGATTTGCGGCGTAATCTCAAGGACCTTCTGAGAGTTCCACCCGAGTCGGCACTTTCTGGTGAGGAATCAATGATGTTTGTTAGGTCTAGAAGACCCATGATAGATCTCCTTCCGCGCTTAGATTCGCTAAGAGGGATAAAAGACAGACAATAATGGGCGTTCATCCTCTTATATTATTGCGGTAACTTATAAAGAATAAACATAGTGAATGCAAGTGCTTAATCAGTTAAATTTAATTGATTAAACACTTGCGTTTGCTTATATATACATGTTATATAACGAACGGACTGAAACTGACCTCATCGGACAAATTGTGACAACTGAAGCTCGGAGGCAGCTTCACCTGAAAAACAGGAAAGCGAACACACTGCCCAACAGCCCACACTAAACCACAAAGGGGGAACAATCCTGCGAGCAGAGCGAAAGACTATAGCAACGAGAAAAGTTCGTGGAGTACGTGACAAGTTGACTTAGGCGCGAAGACTCAAGGTCCAATATCCAATATCGTTATTACGAGCTAGTATAAACCAATTTGATTTCTTTGTGCTCGCTTCTTGATTGTGAGGTATAGGTTCCTGATCTTCGGTAAACTTCCGCGTAGCTTGTCCCGCCACTCGACTGTCGTAGCTTTCAAGTGTTGGTTTGTAGGGACTTGATTGGTTTCAGGATTTCATCATGAGCTGACATTAGTTAGAGAACCATTGGAAAACCTGGGAGTACTGGACAGCTGTTTCGTCCTAGTTTGGGACTCTTCATCAGTACGCACCCACCGGGATTCGAACCCAGGACCTTCCGGTTACAAGGCGAGCTCGTATACCATTAAGCCACTGGGACCCGATCCAATGGTCCTTGAATTCTAACTTCTGCCAATTCACGACATAGCGCGACCGCTAGCCAATGTCTTCGGCGAGTATTTGTCCTCACACCCGACCAGCTGCACCCTACTGGTCACGACTTCCCACTGGAACCCAGGTAACTACCTACCTGAATAGGGCCAGTCGCCAGTGAGCATCTCATTGGTATTCAAGTGTTGGTTTGTAGGGAATTGATTGGTTTCAGGATTTCATCATGAGCTGACATTAGTAGCTTTGGTTGACTCCAAAGGGAGTAGTGCTGGGATTAATTATATGTGGTTTGTAGTACGAGGTATGTTAAGACTGTTACTACTGTGATTGGAGTTGATCCTTTCGCCAGTTAGTCCTTCGGTATCGTCGACAAGAGAAAAGAGATATTAATAATAATAATAGTAATAATAATAATAGATATAATTAGTGAAGCTATTCAGACTAAGAGACAGAAACGGAAATAGGAAACGTAACAACAGTCAGCTCATTAAGTTTGAAGAATAATATATATATCGGTAATAGTAATAATAATAATAGTAATTATAATATTAATAAGTTGTCAGGAGAGTAAGACGGGAGAGAATGTAAAGAAGTAAAATGACGAGTTTAATTATCTACCCTGATTGGTATATGCGATTTTAAGGAGATAGGCCATTTGGATGCAGTCCTTGTATCGCTGCATGGTTGTCCAGCCTTCGCTTAAAGGCGTCCAAAGACGGTGCCATAGCTACATCTGCCGGCAAGGAATTCCAGGGACGACAAACCCGCAGTGAAAAGAAGTGGGAGCGCACCCGGGTCCTTGCCCTCTGGTGAGCTATCCTTCTGAGATTTCCACGTGGAAGCCTATACCTACTCAATGGCAGGACACCTTTGTTTGGGTGATTCTGGTCATTTGTTATTTTGTAGGCAGTAATCAAATCCCCCCTAAGCCGACGGTAACTAAGTGTGAACAGGCCTAATTTCTTCAGCCTTTCATCATATGGTTTGTTTCGGAGACCAACCACTCCTTTTGTTGCCCGTCGTTGGACTCTTTCCAAGAGGTTAGCGTCTCTTCTCAGCATTGGGGGTGCAATAATATTATGCACCTCAAGGTGTGGCCTGACGTATGTTTTGCACAACATTAGAAAGAGCTCAGGAGTGAGTGCACCTAACTGTCTATGCGTAAAGTGTATGACCGCATATGCCCTCGCTACATCCCCTGTGTAATTTACGCTTGTGTCCATTTTTTCCGTTAGAACTAGACCTAAGTCGCGTTCTGACGTTGTGCAGGACAAGCTTTCATTGCACAGGGTGTAACTTGCACTCTGCAGTCTACAGGTGCGCAACTTCACTACTTTGCACTTTTTCAAGTTGAAAGTCATGCCACTGGCCACCGCCCAGTCTTCCAGAAGGTTTAGGTCTTCCTGTAGCCTATCTGAGTCCTCCGGACACTTTATCGCCCTCCATATTTTTACGTTGTCAGCGTACAGGAGAGTCGGGCAGCTCAGACGGTGTGGTAGATCATTGATGAAAATCAAAAACATCAGTGGTCATAGGATAGAACCCTGCGACACTCCTGATGACGATCTGTGTCAAGATGATCGGACTCGGTTAACCTTAGTGCAAAATTGCCTGTCGGCTAGGTAGTCCTTCAACCATGACAGAAGTGGCTCACCTATGCCTGCCTGGCTTATTTTATGTAGGAGAAGGTCATGGTGAACAGGGTCAAATGCCTTCTCAAAGTCTAGGAAGACCACATGGACTGGTACGTTCATGTCCCAGCATGATGTCCAGTCGTCCCAAGCTGACAGTAGGTTAGTGACGCAGGATCTGCCTTTTCTGAAACCATGTTGGGCTTCATGTAGTATATTAGTCCTATCGAAATATTCCCTGATGTGGTCGTCAATAATACTTTCCAGTTGTTTTGATACCACTGGGAGTAGAGCTACTGGTCTATAGCTAGCAGCGTTTTGCCTGTCCCCACCCTTGAAGATTGGAGAAAGGATGGCTCTTTTCCACTCCCTTGGCAGGGTTCCCGAATCCATTGAGTGTTGGAACAAGTCGCACAGGGGGCTACAGAGAGCCTCAGCGCACTGTTTCAGAACAGATGGCCTGATGTCATCACAACCTGGGGACTTCCCAGGTATGAGTCGCTGTAGCTTCCTTAGTACTATTGCGGGGTTTATTTGGGGAGTAGTCGCTAGGTCTTCCTCCTCTGAAATAGTGGTGCCACCATTTCGGTCCGTAACTGTAATATCCACATTGCTGTTTAGCTGTTTAGCGAAGGCTGAACTGAATGTTTCAGCCATCTCCAGACTAGTGAGATATTGACCGTTTGGGCCTACTAAGGCGCATGCCCCTTGGTTTGTCGGTTTTCTTTCCGACATGAATCGGTACAAGCTTTTAGGGCTTGATAGGAGTTTTTTAGCAAGGTTAGCCTGGAATGACCTTCTGTCCCTCCTGACTCTTGCATTACACCGGTTCCTGAGTTCGAGGTATGCATCATGGTCGGTCTGACTCTTAGATACACGCCACGTAAACCAAGCCTTCCGCTTTGCTTGCAGAATACGTTGCGTGCCTCTCTTCAACCATGACGTCTTTCTCTTGGGCTGTGTTGTGACTAAAGGGGCGGTATCCGAGATTGCTGTATGGATAATCTTTTTTACCACTTCCCAGTGTTCATCCACAGATAGGTCGTCCCATGCTAAGGGCCAGTCTGCGTCGGACAAGAGCCTCCGCATTTCAGCACAGTCAGCCTTGCTGTAGCACAGACATGGTCGCGTAACATCCCATTGCAAACGCTCACGGAGGACAAGATCGAAACCTATGACTGCATGGTCACTGCTTCCCAGAGGAGTCATGATCTGGACCTTTTCGACGAGTAGCTGGTCACTAGTTAGAATATAATCTAGTTTTGATGACTTTCCACTAGGGCCCCACCTAGTGTCGTCTCCAACATTCTCAGTCAGTCCCGTGTTTCGAATAGTTTGTAGTAGGTTTCGGCCAAATTTTCCCTTAGCATACCCGGAGCCGAGGTTCAGTGATGGAGCATTGAAATCTCCAGCTATGGTGATTTGGTCGTAGTCCAAATCTCGTATCCCTGTGATAGTGCTGAGCAGCAGCTGATTGTGCTCTGCCCCACAGGTGGGAGATCGGTAGATGCCACCCAGTAAGTGCTTGGTGTGGCCTACGGTGAAATGACACCATATGGAGTCTGGGAGTTCGATAAGTGGTGGGTCCGTTGCGCGCACACATTTAAGTTGCCTATCAAAGTATATAGCAACTCCCCCTCCTTCCTTATTATCCCTGTCTCTTCTGACCAGTACCATATCACCTATACTGATTTCATTGTCGGCGACAGTGGGGTTTAGCCACGTTTCAGTAAGAATGATTATTTTCAGTTGAAGGTGTGCTTAGAGATTTCGGAGTTCACCTACTTTTCCTCTCAGCCCCCTCACATTGCTATATAGGCAACTGACAGTGAGTCTAACAACCTCAGAGTGTTGTGGGGTAGTTGACGTGAAACCGTCCGCTGGTGGGGGACTTGATGTTTGAACTAGTTGGCCGATTCCGATAGAACCGGCCCGTTGTAGTTCTTTTCGATGGATTTAGGCAGGACACTTGGGAGACACAGACTGTCAATCACTTCTCATAAACCGTTAATGCCCAGCTCTCGCTACGCTCGGGCCCACGCTGTTCTTCGAAGATTTCAGAAACGCTTAGTTATAACGGACGAATAAACCAAAACACCAATCTACCGCTTGATATTTGTTTATTGTTACACCAACATATAAAAGGAATAAGCGAACTAAGGTCTGAAAACAAATATTACAATAATAAATCTTTGTATTACTTCTGACGATGTTTCACTCTTCTTTCTGAACAGCGACCGATGAGACGATGACTGTCGTATTGATGCCTCCGCGAAAATTGGGGAAGTTCATTTTAAGCAAACAACCAAGAATTGATCGTTCAATCTTCAACTCCATTGACACTCCCCGGCAAAAAAGGGATCCAACCCTTTTTTCCTTCACGATCAATGCACGTTGACTTGGATGCCATTGCGAGAACCTGGGTCACACGGACAGAGCTGAAATGGAAAACAAACAGAAAAGCCAACACACCACAAGCATACCCACATCACAATCTCACACATCGCTGACGACCTGCGCCTCCAGACAGAGACCTCCTCTTGACATCTTGCAACACAATCGCCGCTTGCTAGAATGACTCTTGCAGAATGCAAAGTGACCATAGCACCACCTCACGATACTCTACGCACATCCTCGTATCTACTCACTACCAATTACCACTGAAATCGCTTGTCACTCATTCTGCCTCAGTTCTAATAGCGGTGACGCATGCGAGCCTCAGTCGTTTACACTCTTTCTCCCCGGCGTGTCGGACCGCAGCTAACAATTATCTCCGTGTGCATTTCATTCTCAGCAATAGCCTCCCCGGCGTATACGACCCATCTGC